CGACTAGAATAAAGAAAAAAAAAAAAAAAAAGAGGAAAAAAAGAGGTCATTTGCACAGTTTGCATTCAAGTCTATTGAAAAGCTAGAAGTTATTATTTATGACGTATTTAATGTCTTCACAACAGCACTGTCTCAAAGTCAAATTTGATTGGATGGCTACCTGGAGCTGAGACAGCTAACAATCTCAGAAGAAAGCTTTGTTTTGCTTTTACACCAGTTACACAGCAGATACATCAGGCAAGGTCATCTTCAATGAATTGATTTTACAGGTGGGAAGGTTTTTTTTTTTTGAGGTAAGGATTAAATATAAACTAGGTACAGCCCAAATCTAACAGGAAATATTTTGTCCTAGTTTTCAGCAAGAGCAGCTTACTATGACAGCAGAAAAACGCAAGACATATAATACAAACAATATCAATGTGGTAATCAACACTATCAAGGTAAAAAAAAATATGAACCCAACAACAACCCATGCTAGAGGTGTTCTGATCTCCCTAGTCTGAATCAATTTATCTTCCTCTTGTACCTCTTGAGGAAATGATGTGTTACAGTGTAGATTCACCGAGAACTAGCAAGTCCAGGCTCATACTGTGCATAAAGCAGAGTGCAAGTGTAAGAAAAAAAAATATCATTCATTAATTACAGTTCTTTTAATCTAGCCTCAATATGAGGCAAGCCTTTTTTAGACATTTGGAAGGAAACTGATTACAGATTATGAAAATGAAATCTAATACAATATAGATTTACCAAAGGTAAATTTTTAAATTAATTTACAAGCATTCCAGTATTTCTCCTGCCAACCTGAGGTGCACCATAAATGGGCCTGACATTCTGGCAAGACAGATCAGATCCTTTGCTATTCTCAGAGAAAACCAAGCCATCAGCTTTACTTGAAGGTATGAGTACAGTAAAGAAAGCTTTTCTCATACCAAAACAAATTATAACTCATCCATCTCCTTCATTCTTACTAAAAGCAGACCATGTTTTTCCTCACAAAAATACCCCCTCTATTCAAGAAATTTCCCTTCAGGTGAGTACAGGTATAAATTACTTCCCTCACTTGCACTAGAATTTGGTTCCATAATGCATAAAATTAGCAGCCAGTTATTTCTTGGTATTTCATCCCACATTTTCAAAAAGTTACAAATTGTTAGTCCCAGAAGAATGCAAATACTCAAAAAAAAACCACAAAACCCCCACCAGTCCTGTAGTACTTACTTTTTGTAACCAAAGAATTACACAAGATTTGTGAAACAAATGATGACAGGGTAGCTCCGTTATGATTTCATCTTTCACATATTCACTGCAACAGATAGTACAACACTGCTCTTGACCTACACCCATGATGAAGAAAAAGCATTATTATTATCTGGTTTTACATCTAAGATGAGCTGAAATTAAAATACATATATTATCAACAGTATCACTAATGATTGCAAAATACAATCACCCTTAATCCAGTAAAGATTAGTTTTCCAAACTGACCAAAGTTATATTCAGTCTGATTCAAGATTCAAAAGCTCTTAGAACAGCATTGCCAGCTGCACAGTAAGTTTGTTTAAATACTTCGTCTATGGTATTACATAAAGCTAAATTTGTTCTTATAAACTTTGTGGAAATTAATTCTTAATTATTTTTCCATACCATCATGGTCATCTGTGATGATAATCTGTGGCAGACAATCTATGGTTTCTTTAGTAGGTGGTGGATGAGCCTGTTCAACATCAACTCCAAGAGACTCCAAATGGGCCAGAGCAGTCTGAAAAGGGTGAGCAGAGACCAAGTTCTCTTACAAATGTAATTTTCCATATAAAAACAAATAAGCAAGAAAAGGAATCCAATTCTAATAGTATTACTTCCTTAAATGGCAGTTATGTCTGTCAGACTAGCTGTTATATCATTTTTATATTTGTAATGTATGAGATGAAGGTAGGTTAAAACAGTAGCAGCTTGTTTTTTAAGCCACCTTAAAGTATAAGGACAGAGTCACAACTTATTCTCTAATGAACATTTGTTCATTTTATAAAGTTTCAGGAAAGGCAGAAAGTTGAAAATGTAATAAAGCTTGCTAATACAAAACTGTCATTATATTTCGCTTTCTGAAAATAGAAGCCTCATTAATGTGCTTCCTGGCTTCAACTATTGAATTACTCAGGTACAAATATAAAAATTAAGTACCCTGGCTACACTACCAATGTAAGCTTTCAGAAGAAAACAGGATCCACATAGATGTTTCTCATCTGTATAATGACCTAAGACATAGTGCTCTGAAATCATCTTGTTTGAAACTTAAATTTTTCACCATACAAAATCTTTAAGACTCTGATGCTACAGCAGGCAGAGTTGATGTATACATCATACATTCAACCCCCTAAGACACTGAAAGGATCTCCAGTAGAAAAAAATTACAACACAGAACTCAGATTGGTTATATTCACTAAGAAATGTACTAGATATACCTGTTTGAACAGCAGAAGAAACTGAAACTGAAGAGCCAAGAACACAGAGGCACTGAGTTGATATCCTTAATGAACCAGTCACACCCCTCAAGTGCAACTACCTACTGCTCTGACCAGCATGAAAATTATTTATTCTAATGGCCATGAAACTCCCTTGGTAAGAAGTTTAAGATAACCTGACATTTTTGTAATGTTGGGGGTACACTTAACCAAAAAACCAAAAATATACTAAAGAAACATTGGATTATACACAAACATCTTCATTAGTCTTTCCTCTTAAACTTTAGAGAGTTACTGGAGCTGCAGCCTGGAAAAATGCATGCACTTTTATTGCAGTGGCAAAGTAGCTCAGGCAACCATCCCTCCATAGATCTAAACTAGCAGGTTTACACCTGCAGTCAAATGTCTGTGGCAGCAGAGAGATCGGCATGAGCTAACAGACAAATATTTACAGCTTCTGCTGCCACACGTATTCCCATCTAGAAATCTGCTAATTTAAAGGAAATCCTAGGACAGTTATCCCTAGTGCAGTATGCAAATCCATCTGCAAAACAGGTACACTTTCCCAATTTAACAGCTTAAAAACATTCAATTCTGCTACAGCAGACAATACTGCCTTACTAACATTAAGGTGATTTTAGTATTTGTAATGGTATTTTGCTACAGCTGCAATGGTCTGAGAAGAATTTGTAGGTAAAAATATGATACTTAATTAGATTAACTACTACAGCTGGAAAAATTAGATAAGATCCCAGGCAGACAGAAGGATGCAATATTACCTATGTGTCAAACCTCTGTGTCTATATGCAGTATTAATACTCTCAAGCAGAAGACAATTTACAAAAGGATTGTACTGTTTGCTTTTGAAAGCTGCACAAAAGAAACACAGACAGAAAGCCTCACAATGACTCTTCACACTTAAAACCACATCTTCAAAACCAAAGCAGAGCAAAGAAGTGCCCATTTTACAACTTTTATAAGATACCTTTATTTCCTTCCTCTTATTACTTGTGTGACTGCTTAGTGCTCTACATACTACAAACCAAATGGTGGACACTGCTAAAAACAGGAGTGCTACAGCCTTCAGGGGTTTGAGCTTCTCACATCTGTGAATCAGCACAGGAAATACTCATAAATGAAGTTACTGACGCTGCAGACACCCAACCGGTTGTAGTACTGCTAATGCAGTAAGCCAAACACTCCCAGCTAAGTAATTTCTTTAAAACAAATGGAAGTTAAAAAAAATAAATCACACATACAGGTTATACATTTTAGGATCCCAGAGTCTTATAGAACATGGCTTTTTTAAAAAAAAAATTAATATATTCACTACTTCTCCCCTCCAAATGTCACAATTAATTGGGACAGATTTCCCCCTCCCCAATTAAGATATACTTGAATTTTGGATGCATTATCATGTCATATCCCTTTCAAGTGTTTCATAGCTACGGTAAATTAGTTTGCTGGATAGAGAAATTTTCAGAAAATTTTCTGAGCTATAACAGACACTTGTAATAAATTATGTTGTTACAGGTGAAAAAGATCTGGTTAATGAATCTACTATTTTAGATAAGAAAATTTTGGGAAACTTAAGGAGGTGGACTAAGTAAATCAGTAACAGGCTGAATAAAGTCACAGTCATTAGACAGATTATTAATGGTTATAATTAAACTCAACCCAATCTGTTCATCAAATCAGAATAATACTTCAAGCTAATCAAAGCTCAGACTTCTCAATTAGAAAACCTCTGGTGCAAAAATACTTATTACCAGGAAGCAGATGGGTTACTTTTTAAACTTGAAGCAAAAGCAGAAGTATGTTGCACCCATAAGGTAGAATCAGACTAAGCAAGATTTAAATAATAGCTGTTTGCCCTAAAGATCTAAATAATACTAAAATAGTGTAACTGGCAACATGTAGCCTGTTAGAAAGCTGAGTATAAATATATAGATAACACGTAACTGCAAAGTGGCAAACCAGCTTAGGGTATAGTTGTTCAAACAGAAAAAGAAAACACACATGCAAGCATTAAGATCTGGAAGGTGAGAACAAAAGTTATAGAACAAGCAAGGAAGGTATCTGGTGAAACTGAAAATCCAATTGTCCTGCAGAAAAATGCCTAGCAAAACCAGAACAAGTCCAGATCTCCAAAATAAGATTAACTATGTCAAGAACAGATGAAATCACTCCCTTTACTCTTGGGGAGAGGAATGAGGAGCATAAAATACCAATCACGAGGAAGAAAGACAACTAGCTTCAGTTTTTCATTTTTTTAAAAAGAATTTTTTTCCCCCTGAAAATGCTGTATGCTGAATTTTGGATATCTGACCAAGCACTGTGACCACAGTACCAAAGATAAAGAAAAGGCTTTGTAACACTATGAGATATTTACTATTTCAATGAAAGATTTTACATTTTTAAATTTGTGGAAGACACTTCTGTATCTTCATCTACAACTGTCTGACAACCAGGAAAGTTGTGTTTAAAGGCTGTTCTGAATGTCCTTCCAGGAACACAAGTTTCTAGTCTATGTTAATCCAGTCAGGGACAGGGTCACATCATATTTTATTAAGAGATTACACTGGTCTAGCCATTTGCAAGTCCCATTTTCTAGAAAGCAGAAAACGTTTGTCCTGGTTTCAGCTGGAAGAGTGTTAATTTTCTTCCTAGTAGCTGGCATAGTGCTGTGTTTTGGATTTAGGATGAGAATAATGTTGATAACACACTGATGTTTTAGTTGTTGCTAAGTAGTGCTTACACTAGTCAGAGACTTTTCAGCTTCCCATGCTCTGCCAGGTGCACAAGAAGCCGGGAGGGGGCACAGCCAGGACAGCTGACCCAGACTGGCCAAAGGGCTATTCCATACCATAGGACGTCATGCTCAGTATATATGAACTGGGGAGTTGGCCAGGGGGCAGTGACCGCTGCTGGGGGATGGGCTGGGCATCCATTGGTCAGCGAGTGGGGAGCAATTGCATTGTGCATCACTTATTTTGTATATTTTTTAAACATTGTTATTTCTCTTCCTTTTCTGTCCTATTAAAGTGCCTTCATATCAACCCATGAATTCTACCTTTTATTTCTCCCCCCCCCCTTCTCTCCCCCATACCACTGGGAAGCCGGGGGTGGGGCAGGGAGTGAACAGATGTGTGGTGGTTAGCTGCCTGCCAGGTTAATCCACAACAACATTATATCCTGATGCTGCCTACATCTTGCTGTGGTCATTAGAAGATAGGATCTCAGCAAACAATTGAAATTAATTCTGGAGAGAGAGACATTACAGAGCCTTTTTTTGCTCACTTTCTCTCAACTTCCAGAAATACTTGCAATATTGCCTAAGAGAAATGTTGAACAGTTTTGGATAATCCTTGCTCTTATTTTCTGAAGAATTTTAGTAACCATCTTCACACTGGAAAGAGGTGCTCTATATATTCTGCTTGAGATTTGGAGGAAATATTCAGAATTCTTACTCAAAACCTATGTTGTCCATTTAGTCACAGTCAATACAGCTGTTCCTTTTATTGCTCAGTTACCGTCTTCTGCTAATTCCAATTATGCCAGACTTCTATGCCCACTATGAAGTTTCAGACATGTAAGTGCTAATTCCAAGCACAAATACTATTTAAGACATTTGGCTTTTCCTCTTGTTCAACATCCACAGTGACCTGTACCACAGGTACCAGAGAATAACTACCTTTGTAGTCATCTACTTGATTGCCAAGTGTGTTCAATGACACTCCATTCCTGGTGACACTAACATAATTACGGCATCTTCTCAGCCAGCCATGCACATAGCCACCTAGGACTGCTTTTACAGGTCAAGCCTGACAAGAGAGCATGTTTCTTCTGACAGAGTCACTAGGGAAATGTTACACAGTAATGAGAAAGAAAAACTCAAAGCCATAATAAGCTCAGTCTCCTCTTCACAGTGTTAACATATAGATTAAAAAAAAGCTCCTCTTACTCTACACAGCTCCTCTTTGCTTTGGTGCAAAAGGAGGAGGTCAACTGCTTCTGTAGTTCTGTGCTTTCTGATGTAGTGAGAACCAGCAGCTATGAAAGAGACAACGAATTTTCTCTATACAACTTCAAAATACTTCTTTTATAGTAAGGATATCGACAGACCTCCTACAAATTAATAAGCAGTTCTGAAGTGTCTCCAGATAAGTAATGCTAACAAGATCCTACACAGCTGGAAAAGACCCTATGGTACTTGATCATGAATAATGCTGACCTCCCATATACCTTGGGGGATGCACAATACTTGGAAATTAAAGGACTGCCAACTTCAGGGAGCAACCCTTCCACCCCCTTGGAAAATCCCCATGAAGTTTATTCACAAAATAATCGATTTTGCACATATCCATGGGAAAAAAAAAATTATCTATGAATGTTCCACTGACTGTCAGCTTTAGAAAGCATTTTAAAGCATCCTTGGTATTTTGTCTGCAAGCACAGTATGACATACAGTCTGGCCTGTTCACCCCTTTTAACTAAGAGCTAGTAGTCCAACTGCCCCTTGATGCCCCTAAACTTATGTCACACACAAAACATTCAATTACATGTCTACACATCATTTAGACTCTTATTTTGACAAATACCCTGCAGGGGAGATTTGTGGCAGTGCAAGAATTGTCGCATTGCATCAAAGTGAATTTCAGCTAGCTCCATATTCACTCTGACAGTGACCAATGTCATGTAACACAGAAAAGAAAGATCATAACTGTTCTTGTTCTTGATAACAAATGCTCTGGTTTATCCAAAGTTAGACAGATGAAATTAGATTAGAACAAGGTAAAGATAAAAGGCTTTTTCGCTTTTGGGTGATTGGTTTTGGTTTGTTGTTTTTTTGTTGTTTTTTTTTTTTTTTTAATTTTAAACACATGGAGTCAAGACAGTCAAACACAGAAAAGTTTTCTACTGAGGAATAGAGATATGAGGCATCCAATTGTATTCTTGCGGAAAAAAAAAAGCTGGGACAGTTCATAGGCACAGATCCAGGTATGAACTTTCCTTTGTTATGTAGGGAATTCCGCAACATTCTTCAGAATAATTTAAATAGCATATTTTTATATTGGTAGAAATCAGTATCTTTTTCTCCTTTAAGAGAAAATAAATACATATTCTAAACAGAGTAGCACTGATCAATGACTTCTTGCACTACCTCATTTAAAAGAACTTCTAACATTTATTTTCAAGCTTGCAGACTTGAAAGTTCAAGCTAAAACAGAAAAGTAGTTTTTAGCCTGATTCTTCTGATTTTCAGATTATGCTGAAAAAGGATTCAATACCTCCACAGCTTGTTGTAAGCGTCCCTCTAGTGCCATAAATGTGAGAAACTCAGGATCCACATAAGGAATGGCTTGAGCAAGTCCTAGGCCATCACCAAACTCATCAAGTAGTCTGAAAAACATGAGTTAGGAAACATGGTCTTCATTTCAAAGTAAACAGTAATAACATGAGGGCTGGGTACATCAAATTACCACACATCACCTGTTAACAACTGTGTGTGTATACTCTCATGGGGTGGTTGTGTTGGGTGGACCTTAGCTGGCTGCCAGATATCCACCCAGCTGCTCTCTCACTCCCGTACCTCAACTAGATGCAGGCATAAATAAGATTAAAAACTTGTGGGTCAAGATAAAGACAGGGACATCACTCACCAATCGCCATCACAGGCAAAACAGTCTCAGCTTAAGGGGGAACCTTAATTTAACTGAAAGGTTGAACTAGATGGTCTTTTGATGTCCCTTGCAATCTGGGCTGTTCTATGATTCTGTGAATTTACTGCCAAGAAAAATGGATTTGGATGGTGAGAAACAAAGACAAAAACTGAAACATCTTCCCCTTAGCGCCCCCCCCCCCCCCCCAAGCCCAAATTCAACTCCTTCATTCCTGACTCTCATTGCAGTTCCTCTCTGCCACTCCTTCCTCCTCACACTGTTCCGCTGCTCCAGTGTGGGGTCCCTCCCATGGGCTGCAGTTCTTCAGGATAAACCTGTTACTGTGTGGGTCTTTCCCACAAGCTGCAATCCTTCACTAACTACTCCAGCGTGGGCTCTCCCCAGGCACAGTTCCTTCAGCAAATACCTACCTGCTCCACCATGGTCTTCTCCAGGAACTGCAGGGGAATCTCTCCTCCAGCACCTGGGGCACTTCCTCCCCCATCTTCTCTGAGCTTGGTGTCTGCAGGGTTGTTTCTCTCACATCATCCTCACTCCTCTCTCTCACACTCTGCTGTGCAGCATTTTTTACCCTTTCTTAAATACACTTTCTCAGAGGCACCACCCTGCAGTGGGTCCATTGGGGCCAGCTGTGTCCCACACAGGGCAGCCCCGGCCTCTCCTCACAGAGGCTGCCATGCAGCCCCCCGTGCCAGCACCTGCTCCCAGTAGAGAGGTACACTCAAGACAATATAGACTTCAGAAGAACATGATGGGAGCTTTTACTGTTGGCTACTCGAGAGTAAAAGGGCATACAGCACAGCTAATACATTGCGTATGTATGCTATTAAGCTCATTTTACAACTAGCATTCAGATTTTGATTACATCATGTGTCACAGTTCACAGCTTGGCAGCTGCTTCGCGTTCTGTTTTGAACATTCAGAGATCATATTTTAAAATGGGCACAAGCAAAATCATATGCAGATCTGCATATGCTCAACAGACAAAACTTAACAGACTGTTAGAGAAGTATCTTCCTTCCTATTTTGAGTAATTAGGAAGCTTACCAAGGCTAACATCCAACACTTAAAAACAGTTTTTGTCCATATCCTACAATTCCTTTGCTAGCTTGCTGCCTGGCACTGTAAGAACACATGCCTTACTTCTAGCTTGGACTCTCGTGCATTAGTCGCTGTTGTGCTTTTTCAAAATATAACTTCACAAGGAAAAAATACCAGTGGTTTTCGTATGTTTGTACTCTAGTTTACAATATTTTGAATAAGCAGAAGAGAGCAAGCATTAAGTCTCTCACTGGAAAGCATTCTGTCTAGCTCACTCTTACTTTAAAACAAATGCACTACACTATTCTAGAATTAGGCTGTGCAAGTGGCTCTGATCACATTCCTCCTGGTATTTGCAGAATTTTTATAATAAATATATTGCAATATTCTTCAGTAATCTAATGACAGAAAATTGAGTGAAGTATTCAAAATTATGACAATATTAGCTAAGTGCATGGCATTTCAAAGAGACATAAAATAGGCTTATAACATCTAACTTACACCAATTGCAAAAGAAAGACCAATTATAAAATTGCACTGACGTGAATGCTGATTACATTCATATTGCTTTACTTTTGTTATACTTCCACTATACTTACCATCTTGAAAATTAATTGAAAAAGTACACCCATCCCTTGAATACTTAGTGCACCAGAATTTTCTCAGATCACAGCCTGATTTAGCAAATCTACATCCTTTTTCTCTTGTTAGAAGACACATAGCACATGAAGTACCTTAAGCCTTAAAACTCAGATTATCAGCCTTTGAAGCAAGTGCATACTGATAGCCATGAGTATTTTTGACATCTTACATAAAAAGCAAAACAGTAACTACAAAACCTCTGAAATTAATGGAGAAAACTATCAAAGGCATACCTCCACTCCACATCCAGGTCTTCACTCACACTGGAGTCATCCTCAAGGTTGTTATTTCCATCCAACAGGAAGAATCCAGGATGCACAAAATCACTAACTGGATCATTTTCCTCATCACTGCTACTTTCTACTTCTTCCCGGTACTGTAACCAAGGAATCTCTCCTTCCTCCAATAATGTCTGTTCCCTTCAAATAAATAAATGAAAGGCTAAAACTAAAAATCTAGGAGAATTTACAAACACATGCAAGCAATAAAGGCTACACCTTTTACAAGCGCTGCAGCTGCATGTTTTCCAGACTGCAGAGTCCCAGATTAGGAATTTAGTATTTGCGGTAAAAACCAAGAAATTCCCAGTGCTATCAGCTCCAGACTCAGAATCTAGTAACACCCATGATTCTGTGGCAAAATTATTTGTCTCAAGGCCAGCAGGACAGTAAGTAGCTTGCTTTGCATTTTCCCTAGTACAGGCAGTATCCCTGCCAGGGGTAGTAAATTTGGCACTAAAGATTTTCTTATTCATCTACAAGGTCCTAAAGCCACTAAAAAGAAAGGCTCTCTTGAAACCCTGGAACAGCCTTCCTGGGGAAACTCAGACTGAATTCAAAGAGATATTATTTGCAAGAGAAGCTATTTACATAAGGAGAAAGACTCTTCTCATTCCTAGATTTTCTAGAGGAGCGTAAGTCACCTGGATGTTTAGAGCCACAGGGCTGTGAGTCCCACTTTCCTTATCAAACGGCAAATAGACAGGAATCATGTTAGAAATGGGTACATTTACAGGCTGTTCACATGAAAGAAAGCTGAAGAGTACACAGCTCCATTGTTGTTGTTGTGACACAGATGAGTTTTCATAATAGTTTCATAAAGCCACACAATTCTCCAAACCTCAAGAGACAGCGATACTAAAAAAGCAGTAACAGAGATTTGGACTGCTTGGTAATAGGTACTGTCTATCTAAGAGTGGAACAAGCTGAAAGAACACTTAGGCATGGTTTGTTGCTTTATAAAGACACAAACTAAGAATATAAGGTCAGTATTAGATGCTTAGGAAAAAAAAAAAAAGAACAACCAACCAAACAAACAACTTGGCTATTTATAGCTACAAATTTTCTCTTACAAAGGCAGACACATTTTATAAAGTAAAATACTGAATGACTGGAAAAATAACTAAGTTCTCAGCATGCAAGTTGTTCAGGTTTACTCTAATCACTGATAGGGCTGCAGAAATAAAGAGCAGCAGTGGAATATGAGAAGCAATAAAGCAAAGAGATAAACAACTGCTTTGCAAGGAGTACTAAGGAGTATCAGAAGATGTGTATGAAACATATATGTCTTCACAATTAACTTGCCTAATCTGGCTTTTTAAAGTTGGTATATCCAGCCTATCATCCTTACTGACACTGCACGTCAATACTCTTTCATTATTTCTGTATCTTCCATAAGATAGAATTGTTCACATGACATGCCATTTTTTTTCTTCGATTGGAAACACATACAACTACTCAGATTATTTTCATGTAGGCAAATCATTATTCCTAGTACAGTAACTACTTTTAGAATTGATGTTATTCTGTGTAGTGTCATGTGCATACCGTGTTACTGCTGATGTCAGAACTTACAGGAAGTTCGCTAATAAAATAAAACCATACCCTCCGTACAAACAGAAATTTGTGTTCTCCTCTTCTATGCCACTGCTGCTGCTCTGCACTTCGGGCTCACGTTCCTCCCTGCCTGGGACAGTCTCCCAGCTCTCATCACTTGAGGACTGGTCTTTTTCTGTAGCAGTAAAATAGGTAGGCACAGCTGTAGACCATTCTCCATCACTGCATTCTGAGCTGCAATTTAAACAAGGCAACAGGGTGTGAATTTAAACACTGCTTTAGGGGAAAGAAAACAAACACAAACATTCTGTGATTTCCTACTTTTCTGTGAACATTGCTCTCAATACAGACCATTTTTTTAACGAGAAATTAATTTTGTACTATTTATAGGTGTATTATAAGGCAACTATACATAAAGAGCTGATTAAAAAAATCACTTCCTAAGAAAGAATTCTGCCCATCTCACTTTGCAAAAAGGTTTTGTTCTTCCCCCTCCACATTTGCAGAGTACATAAAACAACTCAGGAATATAAGCCCAGACCCACTATACACATCTTTCTCCTAGCACACAAAGACAAAACAGCAGCAGTGACACTGAGAACACCAGTGCTTCCTTAACAAACAATAAGCAATGTCGGCCTTACCTCTCAGCCAAACAAAACTTAAAGTAAAAGCGCTCAGAACCTCTAACCCATATACAATGATCCTTTTTTTTAATCATACAAAGATACAATGTATGAGTTACTGCAAATTATATAATTCACTACACATGAATGGCAGGGAGTCTTTCGAAGAGAATTTGCTCAGCCACCACATAGAAAAGGGCAGTAAATAACAAGTTGTGGGCAGCTTAAATAGTGATGTTAGCAGAATCTCAAGAAGGATGAACTCATCTACTGCTACCTTTGGTAATGCCACTTAGAAGGTTTACTCAATACTAACAGTGACAGTTGAAACCTATCAATATTCCAAGTATAGTCAACTAGCTATGTCACTTCAAAAAGTTACAGAAAACTAATAAATATGTGAACAGCAAACATGCTTAATAGAGCACATCTCACACAGCAATCCACAACACCTGCAGATCAGCGTTTTCAATCTGGTATCAATGTTCTCTCCCTAGCTACAAACTCACTTTAAAGAAATCCTCTTTCTATGTAATATTACAAGCACATGCCAATAAAAGTTGCTATTTAATGAATTGCAAGTACTTTTGAAAAACTGCACATTATACACTGCAAGTTTTACAAGAATAAAGAAGATCAAGACATTATACGGAAGTATTTTAGTTTGAAGCAGGAATATATTTTTCTATCACAATTTTGAAGACTAGGTTAAGTGACGGAAATTATAATGTTCGTTAACTTTGGGCTATTTTAAAGGACTACTTTACAATAGAAATAATATCTGTTACAAAATTCTGATATGCAGTCTAATGCATCTTTTACTATACCATCTAAAGCTGAATGCTAACATTTTAGAACCTTTTGTTTTGTTTGTTTGTTTTAAAAAGGTTAATTAAGCATACTGTAAAACCAGCCCAAATATTCAAGTCTCTTATTTTAGTTTTCTCTATTTTACAATCCAGGAATGATTTCCAACACAGTTTATAATAATATTCCTACGTTGTTAGTCAAATTTGTTCTCTTTAAAGTTTATATACAAACACTAATTCAAATCAGAAAAGAGGATATGCCTGAAGTCATTAATACTGAACAAAGGAAGAATATTGAATGTGTATATTTCAAAACTTCGGATTTAACTGTGCCCAATTCTGTGGAGAAGCAGAATGTCACTTGATGGTTAGACAGTGATAGACTTGTCACTTGCCGAAAGCATAACACATTAACTCGGCATTTGCACATGGATTTTCTGAGAATAGTCTCTTCCCTGGCTGAACTGGCCTGTACTGCCATACCATCCAAAACTAAATGGAGGGAGCTAAAGGATGTGATACTCATCCTACCATCCCTGCCCTCTGGGTACCTACCATGACCCTTGCACCTTAGAGCATATGTGGTTCTAACAACTATGGAAGACTTTCTCCTTCTCACACAGCTTCTACATGCTAACACCGTAACAGCCGGGCACTTCCTTGAAGCAAAAGTGTGAGGTAAAGGCCCAGGCTGCAGCAATCAGCAAGGGGAATATCTCCATGGGTTGGAAAGAAGTGAAAGTTGAGTTGCAGGATGTAGTTTGACACGTATGCCAATTCTGCTTTTTAGGCAGCTAATAAGTATATTTAAACATGTAATGTGGATTAACCATTTAAACATAAAACTTTACCTTTTGAGAGTGGAAAAAAATATTACTCCTTTGTACAGAGTAATCATGGACAATTTATTTCATAAGGATAAGTCTTTTGAGGGTTTAGAACACAAATTATGGGGTTTTTTTAAGTTAAAAGAACACATATGCTTCCTGTTTAGTGGTTCAGTTATTGTCATCATGATAAACATAGTCACTTTCAGATATGTAATCTGTATTTCTTTTTGTCACGCTGCAACAATCCAGCACTTTGCACCATGGAAGCCAATGCTATAATTGTTAAATACAGTCCATTTCCTCCATTGCATTTTAACCTAGCAGCAGCATTTCAGAGGTGGAAAAGAAAAGAACTTGCAGTAACAAAAATTTTTGGAGTAAACCTTACAAGGAAGGAAAGGATTCATTTGCAAGTCCACCTATATCTTTAATAAGAAAAAACAAAATTAATTCTACTAACCCATTTTACACTGCCTTAAGGATTTTGTTCTCATAATTGGGACTCTGCAATATTTTAAGGACAAGAGTTTATGCAGATTAATTTTCATGCTGTTCTCTCCACAAAAGCAGTGGAAGCACGATCTACTAAGCAGGTTAGCTTATGAAGCCTAATGGCAAGCACACACACAAAAAAGCCACATCAACATCCAGAAGACATGTCTTGTAAAGAATACAGTAGGAACAGAATCAACAAGATGAAAGCAAGCTAGAAGAAAAACAGGCAAAAAAAAAAAAGAAAAAAATCAAACAAAAACCATCACAAACACTACTGCATTTACCATAAATGAACAGAACGTTAGAAATTTCTTTTACCCTCAAATAGCTCAGTTACGTAACTCCAATTCACAGTGAAAAGTTCTTAACCAGCATTATATCAGTAAAAGTATATCAACATAAGGTTTATCCAAATTAGTCTGTCTTCTGGGTAGAGAGCCCAAAACAGGAGGAGCTCGAATACTGCTCCTGGTGTCCACGTTGGAGCCATTTGTAGATCTGAAACTGTATTCATTAATAGTTACTTTGGAAACATCTACTAGTCTAAACAACTTTCATTAAAAAAGGGATTATAAGCAATCCTATCAAGTTATTCTTCAGGTATGACAAGGAAGAATAATTTCTTTCAAAAGGCTGGAGACAAGAACATACATAGGCTGTCATGCAGAATATTGAGATTTGGTGGCAAAAAGAACAAATTCTGAAAATAACAAGTCTTGAAGGCAACTTCCAAAGACCCATAATTTGCCAAAACCCATGCTGAACAAGGTTTTTCCTCTCTACCCTCCATCCACTCAGTAAAAATAAAATAAAAATCAACAGGCAATATTCCTTAGTGGTAAGGCGCTTTGACGCTAAACATAAGGAAAGGCTTTTTACATTACCAGAAGAATGTACATTGCCATTTCTTTAGATGGACTTGAGGAAGGGTGAAGGAGAACTGAAAGGAAAAGTTGGCATCTTGTTATCTAATCATATTCTGAAATTGCTTGAGTTTTTACGTCCCATTTGCTAACAAATTATTCAGATTTGCACATTATTTACACAAGTTTCAATACTAATACAGATATAAAAATGAAATTTTACCTGTCTTCATCTTTGTGGGACATTGAGAAGTGTCTGCTGCAGTCTTCAAACTCATCCCAAAAAGTGCTATCATCTAGAGCATTTTTTTGTTCTTGAGCTGGTGCATTTTTCCTTAGGTCTATTTCTGCGTCTTCGTACTCTCTTGAGTCAAAGAACATACTAGAACTCATCTCTTCTTTGCTATTTCTTAAGGCACACTCAGCATGGCCTTGCTCGACTTCAGCAATTTCACTTCTCCTCCAGGAACCACTTTCCTCTTCATCATCATTAGGGAGAAGCTTCTCTCTCTCCAACTGGTTTGCAGTACTTTGTTTTCTTATTTTAGGTCTCACTACTAGCTCAGGTGAATTTCCTTGGTCAGCCTTGCCATCATTGAGATTCAATTCATTAGCAGTTGTTACAGGGGTTCCAATTCCAACATCCACTATATTTTTTATCTGCTGTGTTTCACAATTGGCACCACTCAGGCTACTTTTCTGTACAGCTTGATCTTCAGCAGAAGATTTAAATGTCCTGTTGTTTGGACAAGCCAAGTCTGAATCTATGCTAAAATATCTCCTTAAAGGCATTGATCCCGCTTCTTCGCAACATTCTCTAGAAATGCTGTGGTTGAGAGCAGACAATCGGGACTGTAAGTCAGTAGAAGACTCTACACCTTTTTCTAACTCAGAAAGCATGTTATCTAGTGTTTCCTGAAATACAACTGCTTCTTCTCTTGCCAAAGAAAATTTGTCTTGAGCATCACCTTCCTCTCCATCACTGCTATCTGGCTCATAAGAGTCAATGTTTACAAAAGCAATTCCATTCTGACCATTCAGACCATTACGCCCTCCAGATGCATATTCTGCAAGGTTCTCAGAATTTTCATAAGGATTCATAAAGTTCCCTGAGATTTTGCTGCCTTCCAGACCATAAGAGAATAGAGAAAATGGTGATGTGTTTGCTTCAAAAGCTCGGCTCCATACACTTTGGTGAACAGGTTCTCCAGTTCCAATATTTTCTAACAAAGGCTCATCCAATAAACCAGAAGAAACTTGAACCAATGGACTGGAACCTTCACAGAAAGTTGTAAGAAAGAATGCATTGGAATAATCAAAAACAATAGAAATATTCTCATCTACAACTGCTCATGAAAAACAAAGGATAGTTCACTAGGGCTGCAGTGCAATTTGATAGACAGAAACATTTACCAGAGATGCAGTCATTTTTCACTAATATATTGAAGTTCTCATTTATATAAACTAAGCATATGGGAATAGACTTAAATGATACAATTTCAGCTCAGCCTGTGACAGCAAAAAAAGCCAAGTATTAAAGGAACATGTTCATAGGAAGCATTTTTACATTTTTTTACATAAAAGGGAATTTTAATATGAGAACAGGAAATCTGAAAAAACACTAGAAGATTAAAAAAAGCTGTAACATTTCTTTCCATAAGTTAAAAACTGTACTATACATTCATTAACTGGCTAAATTGTGCCTCCTGCCACAATCACATAAAGCCATTTACTGCTACTATAAATTACATAATAATAGCACTATATTTTGTACATGCAGATGTGAGTGCAACTCCTCCTAAGAAGAAAATAATAGCAGGGATGAATGTGGAATTACAGTTAGTAGTTACCATCATCGCAAATTCAGTTTGGTTATATTACACTTGAACACCTCTTGCATAAAGGGACAATAAATATTAAACCAGAAGCAAGAGTTAAAGAACATAAAACCATGTATACTGCTGCTACTAGAAAATTAATGCTTAGTTCAGGTCATGTGTAAGCTCCTAACCAAGGCAAGAGTCCAAACTAATTTTGAACATACAATGGCTTGCATAACTTCATGAGAGTACTTAGAGTTTGTAAGTCAACGTTAAGAGATTTGGAAACTTAACTACAAGACCAAAAAAAATCCGAGACATGCACGGTTAATTGAAGGGATTCCCTAGCATGTTATTTTAAAAACAGGTAGAGGTAGGAAATCATGTAAAATCAGCGTTCTGCAATTAAAAAACTTAAGGAAAAGAGAATCTAATCTAAATAGCTAATCCATGCCTAGGTTGGTGAATTCATGGCACTGAACTCTTACAAGAGCTGTGCCTCTCAGCACTAGGAGTCTGGCTTGCAGAAAGCAATACTGTAACATCACATTTTATCTAATTAAAATCTTGAGGCTCCTTCACCAAATTGCTAACAGCTGAGGTTGGCAGGCAGCCCCGCTGGATATCATCCAGTTCACCCCTCTTGCTCAAGCAGAGTCACCTATAGTAGGTTACCAAGGCCCAAGTCCAGTCAGATTTTAATATTTCCAAGGATATCTCCTCCTACCCAGCTTCCACAGTTGCTTAGATGTGTATAAGATGTCAAGCCAATTAGCAAGGAAATATGCAGCACATTTTAGATAGTACCTGCCCATCAAAAAATAAGTATTGGCTGGGGAAAAAAGTAACCTAGTTGAGGCAAGGGAAATAAATCAATCCAGAACGTTTCTCAAAGAGAAATTTGAAAAGCCATAATACAAAACAAAAAAAAAAAAAAAAAAAAAAAATCAAATATAAAAGGAAAGGCATTTTGTTATTAGACTTAATATAGAAAATGAGTCACTCTTAGAATTTATATACAAAGCAACTGTATTAAGAACAAGGAGATAATACACTCTAAACTGCTTATTTCTTATGACTCCTAAAATAATAGCATGCTTATTTCTGAATAACTGAAACAAGAAAGGTGATAGCATTACAGAGAGACAGTAGGAAGATCTCCACAAGTGTCAACACTGCCTTACAGGAAATAAACCTTTAACTAGATGAAAGTGTAGAAAATGTATGAAGCACAGACAACTGCAAAAACGTTCAAGTTACAAAAAAATAAAACGACCCCAAGATGACCTACATCACATAACAATCTCCAAGAACACTGGCATATGAAGTTAAATGAACACTATGCTATTATAAACAAAAGAAAATTAGAAGGAGAAAGCAGTTACAAAATAGTCTATTAAGGAAGGAGAAAAAATGCTACTTTGGAAGATCTGAGGTTATATGAAACTTTTTGTTAGCAGAAAACCTCATACATTCAAGGAGATGGGACTATGTTTCTAATCCAACAAGCCATTTTGTATTTCGCTATGAAATTATTATTCAGATGCTAAAGTCACAAAAGACATTTTGGGAAATACTAATGTTCAATATTCATTAAACAAGAAAGGGAAGTGGTCTGTCTGGTATAAACAAATAAAAAGAGAACCTTTAAAAGTGTTTTACAGGCTTAAACTAATTTCCACTGTAACTATGCTATGGTTGACTGAGACAGAACAACCTGGTCCATGATACATCAAATATTTCACAGCCTAGTTCCAAGCAGAAGGTTAGAATAAGTGTTCTATTCCAAATGTGATATGTAATTTGATTTGAAGACAAAATAATTTGAATTATACAATGTTATAGCTATTGAGTTGGTTAGAACTCTTTCAGCAATGCACTTCAGGCAAAATTAAACAGCCTAAGATAGACTATAACTTGCCTTCATACTAAATTTCATTCTATAAAGCCATACGAAATGTACTTTACATGTGTTATTTAAGTGGCTACTCTCTTACCTTCACAGTTCTCTATGTGCCTTGCCCCTCCATCCCCACGCATCTCAGTTTACATTTAAATGGCACATACACAGAGATATGCACATACATAAAGAATTCTCTTTCTGAACATCTTCCAATTCTAATCGTTCGCAGTCTTCGTTGTGTTGATGTTCGTCTCGGTCTTGGCTATTCAAAGATGGTCTAAAACCAACATAGGCATGTCTTCTTCCATATCTTCTACCTGTAATAGTTTGATATCCTCCTGCTGGTTTGGGCCAGGCAGGTTTGCCAGCTTCTTGACCCATTGCTACATAAGATTACGGAGGAAAAAAAAAGACAGAGAAACTGCATTAGACAAAAACATGTCTGTATAATTTCCCTCTTTCCTAACCCTTTGACATAATTTTTTTAGCAAGGAATTTCCTATTTCTCTGAAGTCTTGAGCTTCACTAATGATACAATTATTAAGAACCTGAAGTGGTCTGGGCACATGTGTTATGAAAGTACATAACAGAATTTTCATCTGCAGTAAATAATATTGACAAACACCTACCTTGCCCCCATCTTAACATGTTTTTAGTAAATAAAACGAGACTTTATTACAAAAAATTTTAAAAATCAACTCCAGAGGTCACATGAATTTTTTTTTACGGTGATACACTTCTGCACATAGCTCTGACACAACACATGTCAGCTTGCAAAAAACATTTGCAAGCGCTATAATAGAAAAGCCTTCAGGTAGTGCAGCACAATTCAGCCAGCTCTAGCTAGCTTATCTCTGTGACAGGAAAAGTACAATTAATCAAATCACACCTTCTAAAATAAAAGTCCCAAGGCCCAGGGAGAAGGCTTTATTCTTTACACTAGGTAGTATGTTCAGGCATGGCCACAGAAAGCAATTGCTCCTATTATTATAGCAGTATTCCATATCGATGGATCTTAAGGCTTTTATCAAGAAAACATGGGATAAGTAGCACAAGGAAACTTGAAAAACACTGGGGGAAAGCTGCCAATATTATAATGAAGAGAGATTTTAATAGAGCAGTAGTATCAGCTATTAATAATCTAACACCAGTGTTCATATCCAAAGGCTGTTACTTGTACAAATGCAATTAGAAGTTCAGCATTTCAGTTGTTTAGTGGCTTTTTCATGTCCCTCTAAGTCACTTTTAATCTTCACTAAATATGGTATTAACATAGTAGTTTTTCTGTTCTTGAAACTCACCAAACTGAAGACATTAAAGTCCAGGAAGATAAAGTTTACAACCATTAACACACAGTTTTCTGAACTTTAGAAAAATAAGAAAGCTTTTTTCTTTCCTGGCTGTTAAGCCAATCTCTTCACTACCCTTAAAAAGAGAATATTTATATGCAAACCCACCATTTACTAGCAGCTATTTTATGCAGCTTTGAGTGGTATAGCCACTAGTAAGGCTGGTAGCTGCAGTATGTGGACTGCCTAAAAGATACAACTGCACACAGGTACCAACTGTCAAAGAGTCCAGGCAAGTTTTTTGATTATTTTTTAAACTAACATCACTGTTGAGGCTGTTGTTTTGCTAACACTGACATAAAAGAAACTAACTCTATTGCTGCCTACCTAACATAAATCATGAAAAAATAAAACCCAAGGAAAAAAGATAAATATTTTTCTTGGGGCTGCACTCTTAGAAATCGCATGATCCCTTAAAAGCTTTAATGAAGAAGCAAATAGAAGAAAGTCACCTATTGTAAAATACAGCTTCTAGTAGAAGCGAGTCTTAAGAGCTTCAGACACAAAACGTACTACAAGAATTTGGTCTACAATTGCCAGCATGGCAATTCTGAAAACATTTCCTAGCAATCTGCACTTCAGTCAAATTTCTGTGGAAAAAATCCTAATACTTTCTGCCTGATCTTCCCCACAAGAGGGAAAAAAAAAAAAAAGACAGAAACATGAGTAGTATAATGATGGTAGAAGATTCAAGGCCTCAGAAAAAATGCAAGCTCCAAGAAAAGAAAAATAATCACTTTCACTTTCAGCCTGACATGGAAAAAAATTAAGGTTGGAGTAAACCAAACAAAATTACACTCACAATAGAACACCTGCCACAAGAGTCTAAAATATTACTGTTTCATTCCCAGATGAATTGACAGCAACAGTGAAGATACTTACACTGCTTAAAATTAAAAGACAAATATTTACAATTCTGTTGCTTAAAACTGCAATATTTAAGCAAATTATAACATGAGGAGTCTTTAATCTTGTCAGCTTCACTTTTTGTTATCTTTAGACAATTCTAAGAAGCCATTTGCTACAAAAATGTTGTGCTATAACTCACAACATTATATCTATGGCTCTAAATCTGCCTCAAAACATGTAATCCTAGTCATGTCTTTTTTTGACTCTTTTTCCCACACATGAAATCTCTCCAACTACAGCCCAGTTCCACAAACACTGCAGAAGTCCAAACATGTCCACTAGCTGCAATATGGTGATACTGCTTATTTCTACAGACCTGGGATACAACTCAGGTGAACCTCTGCAGAAAAAATTAGCAGGTATCAGAGGCTTTTTTCTCATTTATCTATGAAGTTCTTGTAGTTTGATTACATATAATCTCTCTTGAAAATATTTTCAGCTATTTGTCTAAACCTGCCCATCCCACATTAAACAACAGAAGCTAAAATGGTCAGTTTGTTATTAACTATACTATTCCTGCAATCCTTAGAAAGGTGAAAACTCTCTACCACCCCTGACAAAAAAAAAAAATCTCTGTAACTAATGCAAGAAGGGGACCAACAATAATTTTCTTAGTAAGAATATTAACTGGCTGACTAATTAAGTCAACCAGCAAGTCATGTTTATTCAAGCAAGCTCTGATAATTCTTAAATTTCCACTGATTATAACATGGCTGGTTAGCAGACTGCCAGAGGGAGCTGACAATAAGCAGCCACATCTGAACTTGCAGAGCAGAATCCAACAGTTAAATTAGTAAATCAGCAGAGAAACAGAGAAATCTGCCCTCAAACATGGTAATACAAGTGGCTGGAAAAAAAAGGTAAAAATACAACATAACTGCCTAATTCTTAATTTCAGTTTGTTCTCCAAAACACCAGTATTATTCAAAACCAGATGTCCACTCAAGAGAGTCAAACTCTCTGAATGCAAATGTTTTATTTTTTTAAAATTGATGTTCGCAGCATGCAAAATCTTTAACACTGGGTGCAATGCACTACATTTTTTGTTCCAAATAATTCTCTCACAAACAGAGTATCTCATCTCATATTCAATTGTTCTTGAAAGATACATCATCCAGTTATTCTTCTGTTCTCAGAAAGATTTATCGGATCAATATAGTGAAAGCTTTTACTGTTTACTGAAAGTTTGGATGTCACATTTGGTTTAGAGTAGGAGAGGTTAACTTCTACCTAGATCCAAAATATCTCAAAATAAGAGAAGGAGCCATGCGTTTATTTGCCTACATGCCTAAAATGGGCAGCATTTAGGCACCTGAATCCAGAGACCAATTTACAAGAAACCCTTAGGCAACCAAATTCCTGAGACACATAATATCATCTCTCAGGTCCTTCTTCCAGGCCAACCCAACCTTATAAGTGAGTATTGCTCTATCTTCTTCCAGAAGCTGTTTAGTAGGCCTGTTCAAAATATACCCAACACCTGCTGACAAGACACAGTTCTGCAAAGCTGACCAGTCTTAGAGATGCAACACACCAGTGACGAAATAATCAAGGTAGGGGAAACAGGCTATTTATTCACTTCTCAGGCTAAAGATGCCTATACACACACCTCCATCCTTTCAAAAGGGTACTACAGTCACCTGGATTCCTCAGAGGATAGTTTGCAGCTGTCATAAAGCAGAAAAGCATTTTAGATTACCACATCAAAAAAAACAGGGGAGAGTGTCTCCTAAAATGCACAATGCACAAACAGGTAAGTCCAGCCTTTCCCTGGCACTGCCTTAATCACCAATGCAGAGCAGCCTACTTCCCCTTTACTTCTACAAATACTGCACTAAGGACTCCACTCCCTAGAGCTAGCGAACTACAGGCTATAACAGATAAAGCCTGAGAATCTAGACCCAACCCATCAGACTTGCATAACTAACTTGTCCTCTTCCGCAAAAAACCCACCATTTTTCCAGAAGTAACACAAGGTTACCAGTAGATGCATGCATGCATGTGTTCAAAACCTAGCACCATAACTTCAGCATTCAGAAATGATCCATCCCCTTGATCACAATCCTACATATAAATCCCAAACCATTCTAATTTACAGAGACAGATTTAGGACCACTGGGGTCTCCTGCCCATGCTGAGTCTGACAGGATCCCAGTCCTCGCCCACTGAAACCACCATCCTTTACTCTCCTCTCCGTTACCTCTCATTCTCTCCTATTCTTTTGATTCCCTCACGTCCTGCACACTAGAAAAAAAGAGAAGCAGCTTTTTGGGATCAAGGAGTGCATGACCTAGATCTACAACACTACTACTCAAACAAATCACCATTACCCATGCAGATGTGAGATACCAATGGTGGCATACACCTAACTCCTGAACAGGGCGATGTCGACTGCCACACAGGCAGGCAGGCTGGTCATATTCGTGACTGCCAGAACTGCTGTGACCTACCCAGACGGGACCACTTTGTTGAAGCAGAGTCTAATCCACAGAAGCAATGGTAAAAAAAAAAAATAAAAACATTATATATACAAATTAAAGAAATTGCAGTTTATCTAAAGCAGTTCTGAACATCTGAACAACATCTTGCCTTTTTTCCAAGAGCTGAAATACTCAAAACCTTCCCTTACATACCTAGCAATTTTTGCAGTTTAAGGAGAAGGCAACTGAGTTTTGTAACTTCCACTGACAAAAATATATCCCATAACCCTAGAAACCTCACAAGGCCATTTTCAGTTAAATATTCCATCAAATTTACCTGGATCTTGTTTTCACCCTATTATGTCCAATTTTATTTCCTTGGTACCATTCATTCACACATAGAGTCACCTCCTAGGCCTATTGTATACCTCACAGGCAGAAAACAAAGTTATGACTGTGTAACACGGGGACGGGGGGGCGAAGCAGGGGGGAAGCAGTCCCAAGTGTTTTTCATCCCAATGACATGAAGGGGGGGTCATCATTTTCTGCTGCAGAAGGCATTTAACTAGCTTTTTTTTTTTTTTTTTTTTTTTTAA